GATGCTACCACTGCCGCTTTCGACATGCCTGATAGCGACTGGTGACTCGCAATGGGCGCGGCATCCGGCCGCACGGGCGCAGGAGCACGCTCTCTACGTCCTCATCAAGCACATCGTTCAACCAGCGGGCCTGGTTACTACGATACAGTCGAGTCTTATGACTGACCTACTTAACATGGTGTGGCATAGTGTTGTCCATCGTGGAACCCAGGAAGCCATGAAACACGTTGAAGTATGCCTCTATCTCAACTTCGGGCGCGGCAGTTGCGATAGAAGTTGTGATTAGTCGTATTCAGCCATCGTGGATCTAGGGTTTTTCGAGTTTGGTCGTAGAACGACGTGCAAGAGACATGAGCGATGCAAACCTGACGGGCAACGACGGTGACGGGCAACCTCATGCGCTATTCGTTATCATTGGTATTCAGTCAGAATAGCCAGTAGTCATGGGACAGAGCAGTACTGCTACTACGAGTCATCTCCCGAAAGAACTGACGATTCTCGTGCCTCCCCTGAGATCAGGCCTCTTTACGCGTACGCGACGTTACGTCAGGGACCGGGCGCGCGCGCCGCTATTCCAAACGATCACTCGGCGCTCGCTGCTTTAACTCCGATAGATTGTCCCACGTCAAACGGGTCACTGAGGCAATATTGCATTTTGACTGTACAGTTACCGGACAGGAAAGACGATGTACATCGATACACGACAGCTACTTGCGTTTGTAAACATCGAACTGGACGTGCGGCTCAATGTCCTTGAACCTGTCCAAGTGCGGCGCTTCCTTGTCCAACTCATACTCTTCGTCGATGTCTTTTATCCCATTGACAGAGACAAACCGCAAGGTCCCGCCTCCATACTTCGCGCGTCTCTCGACGACGTCCACGAAAGTGTCGTACTTCTCCGACGGAACGGAGCAACTGAAATGCAGGGCTTGCAAGTTTGGATAGTAGTGGCATCCCCGCTCGCTCGAGGCGTCGAGCAAGCGCTTGATGTCCGCGCCGTCGATGTGTTCGGGATGCAGCTCAGCGACGGCGGGGAACATGGTGTGAAGGGCGTCGCCATCCGGAGCGAGGGAGAAGTAACCCTCTCCCAGTCCAAGACAGAGCGTGTCGATGCTATCGGCGCGCAGCTTCAGAGTGTCGCAGAGACACCGTAGGAATTCGACCAGGTCTGCGGGGAGCTCCATTTCCTTGTCGATCAGGAACTTGAAGGTGGAAGGTGGGGACTCCTCGCCCCGAGGGTCCCACGACAGCTCGGATGAGTGGCGGGGCCTGGATGCGAGCTCCGGGGTGGCCGGCTGACCATCTTCTGTGGCGCCAAGGTGTACCTCGAGCTCAAGGTCGCCGGGTCTATAGACTGCGATCTTGGATATCTTCGACGCGCCTCCCGTTTGCGTGTTCGCGATGAATGCGCTCAGCAATCGCGTGTGCTCCAACAAGGTGTCGGGACCATCGTCGCCCTCTGAGCCATAGGCCGCATCCAGGTCCAGCGCCGCAGACGCTGGAATGGATATGATGTTCCAGAACTCGAGGATGGTCTGCAAATCGTGCCTCAAGTTGAGGTAACGGAGCCTAGGGAAAGTGAGGCGCCGGTCCTCCGCCTGTATTTCTCGCAAGTCTTCATAAAACGGCAGCCAAGTCTGCAGCGTCAGCTCTTCGAGATTACCGCAACGGGAAAGCATATCGAAGAAAACGTCTGCATCGTCTACGGCCGGTATCGGCGGTCTTGACCAGTAGAGCCTCAGGTGGGTCAGGAGCGACATGTCGACCGGGATGAACACGTTGTTGAGACTGAGCTTGCGCAACCGCGGGGCGATCAAGTTCGGGAAGTCCGCAGACAGCAGGGGCGAATCGAGCTCGGTTTCGTGACTGTGTATGATACCGAGATTGAGCTTTTCGAGAAGGGGCAACGGCCTCTGCCGGAGGATGTTGACGACAGCAGTCAGCGCGGTCTCTTCCGGTATTGCTGTGTCCTCATCCAGTGTGATAGAGCGCGCTCTCAACAGCACTCCCAGAGCCAACCTGAACTGTTCCTCCGATTCCATGCGCGACATGCTAACCTTGATCGGGACCGGCCATGCCCGTCTCAAAAACTCCTGAGAAGCACGAGCGTTACCCCAGTCGAAGACGACGGGCGCCCAAAGCTCATGCATGCCCAAGAGCACCAATCGGAGGTCGCGGCAGACGTGCCCGTAACGGAACCATTTGCGGAGATTTTTGCGGTCTTCCCAAATCGCGGCGTCGAGAATCATGCGAAGGAGCTCTGGTGGCAGAAGGAGGAAGGACGTGCGCATGCGATTGATACCACGGACGTAGAGAGGTAGGAGCTCTTGAGTCAAGAATACGTGATCGTCAAAGGCCGCTGCACTTGCTATCATAGGAACTCCTCCAGCGGCGCGTGTCTGCCTGGCCCGCTGGGCTAAGTTATCGAAGTGGCGAGTGAGCGTGCCCTCGAGCGCTTGCCGACTGCGACGATGAGCGTGTCAGTACACTCGGTGGTAGAGTTGTGAAAACCAACGTACAAGACACCAGGATATCGTCTAGACATAGTGGTGACAAGATGAGCACAGAGCGGGCCGATCGAGCGGGAAAGGCTGGTGGCTTGCGGCGGCTCGTATGAAAGGCGCCGTCGAGTGGCGAACAGCTACGCGAGAGAGATTGCGCGAAGGCGGGTGTCGGTAGTGCCGCAAGTCGCTATGGTTGAGATGGGGAGGGAATTATATAGTGTGAGATCGCCTGTACGGGATCGCCTGTGCGCATCATAGTGGTTAGCGATCAAACCACCCAACCACAATGCACGCGGTTTGGGCGTGCCTCGGGCCGGGCCGAACCTAAAGCTTGCTTTGTGCCGTCATGTACCCTTTTGGAGCAGCCCCCTCTCTGTTACTCACGTTACTGTACTCTCTGACTACTGTCTCGAGCGATGCTAGCAGGTGACTACCTAATTTATCAAGGGGCATAGCGAGTGATGATTTTCATTGATTTTGTATGTATGGAAAGCGTATACTCGAGAGCAAGCGTCCGTTGGCACACTGTGCACATCCCGAGCAGGCACGGCTTGGCCACAACGCGTGTACAGTACTGGCTGCAGCACTGGTGTGCTGATGGTCCAGACGAGCCACGAAGATATGTATTAGCACCATTGCGGGCGTCAAGAGAGAAGGCACAGATGGGCTTTTTGGAACGCGCGGGGGAATAGGTTCTGCGGCGCGCCTCGCCCTATTCAACCACTCCGCAGCTGCTTTTCCTCCGCTTATCTCTTGAATCATGATGGGGGGAGTCTTGGCTTGTCATATAGATATCACTTCGGACCAACAAATACATTGATACGAACAATCGGCACGATCGCTTGTAAACGCCTCAAGCACTGCAGCACTGACAGCTCCTCATCCCGCTCCGACTCCTTATATATCCACCAAATCGTGAGAACACGCACGGGCTTTCCGAAGTCTAGACGCTTCTGGAGACCGATTAACAGACCTTCGAAGGCTGCTTGTGAGAACTTCCGGCGAATATGCAAAGTTTGCAGTAGCGGGAAGTAGTCGAACTCTTGTTGTGAAGACGACGAGCCGAGAACGTGGCCGGAATCGATGTCGTCCAAGCCCATGGTATTTGGATAAAAAGTGGTCACGGCGGGGAACATGGAATAGAGGACGCGAGCGTTCTCTGTCTGCCAGCCAAAGGCGTTTTGGCCGAAGCTGTCATCGCCATATTCCAGAGTGTCAATGTTCTCGACGGGTATTTCGAGAGCGGTCAATACCGTCCGCAGAAAGTCTGCGAGCTCATCGACCGTGATTCTCTGTGTGACGACGGAGAATTTGAAAGAGGGTTCAGAAGGGTGCCATGGTGACGAGGGCAGCGGAGGATGACTGTTCGTGGAGGGCGCGATGTGGAGGGCGGAGGAAGGTTCGCCATTGGCAGAGCCCAATGCAAGCGTGAGATAAGTATGAGTACTTGAGCTGGCGAGTCGTACGCTGAGTTTCGTATTCCTCGAGCTGCCGTCTATCTGCGTCAGTGGAAGAAACACATGCAGGGATTGCGCATAATCCATGAGCCCTTGTGGAGTGGGAAGTGAGATAGTGAGCACCACAGATGGAGGGACCGTTAACACCGTCCACAATGCAAGAACCTGCGGCATCTCCTCGCGAAGTGTGAGATGTGTAAGTCGATTAAGTAAGATCTTGTGGCGCAGGCGCAGCAAAGCGTCGGTTTCCGGGATCCACTCCTCGAGCGTCAAGCTCTCTAAATTGCCACAAGCGGAAAGCATTTCGGCAAAGGCGAGCGCATCTTGTCCATGAATTGGCGCCCAGAGAAGAGACAAGTCTCTGAGCGAAGTCGCCACGAATGGAATGAAGATGCGCACGAGTTTGAGGGTGTGTAATTTCGGGGCGGACAGTTGGGATGAGCTCAAATAGAGGGGGTTTGCCGCCATGGCGTCGCTGAGCTCGAGACTAAATTTCTCCAGGGACGAGAGGGGACTACGCATCATACTTGTGCTGATGGTCTTCACTTGGTTTTGGGTGTGAAGTGGGATATCAAATATGCGTGCTCTCGGCAAGAGCTCACAAGCGTCATCAAGCTCTTGCATAGACGCACTCCAGTCGAGCTCGACGGCAATCGGACAGCCGCTAGATCGCCTGAGGAGCTCCTCCCGATGACGCGCGTACCGAGGATCAAAAACGACGTCCGCCCATAAGGCGTGCATCCCGAGGAGCACATCCCGAAGTTCGTGGCAGACATGGCCAAGATGAATCCACGAGTTGAGCTTGGACCGATTGCTCGAAGCGGCAAAAGAGATGATCTCGGAGGTAACCTCCGACGGGAGAGCGCATCGTAGGAGTGGGGAGCGTAGGCGATTGAGACGCCGTTGGTATGAGGGCAGGAACTCATGGATGATATATTCAGTGTCATCAACTACGTTGTCATGCACGACTATACTCGATGTGCGCGTTTGGTGTTGCTCATGAAGGGTTTTGAAGTGGCGAGTTAGCGCACTTTCCAACGATGCGCGCCTGTTGGGTGCGTGTTAATCGATGTGCAAAAAACCTGGCAAGAGCTCACGCACAGGCTGTTGTTTGACATAGGCTCCATAATCGAATCCGAATATCTTTGCGATCGAGGGACGGGGTAGACAACGGCCGGTGCGAACGTCGACGTGGTGGTCGAAAAGAGAGTGAGCTCGTTGGCGCGTTTGCGCGTTGCGGTCCTCGTGCAACCCTCGAGGCTCGTGGTCGCCTTGATCTTGATGAACTTCGGCGTAGCATTTGCGGTTCACACTGGCAGCGGCGGCGACGAGCGCATAGTGCAGTTACTTGCGTCTTGCGTGCGTATTCCGTAGCCCGCTAGGAGCCTACATCGCAGCGGGTGCTTACTGCCCTCTAGTATCTTAGAAATGCCATGAACACTGACGCGCGTTTTCCCATCTCTTGTATCTCACTTTTATCCCTCGCCAGCGCTTCCCCATTAACTCAAACCTAGATACACTCAACGAAGATGCATATACTATCCAGAACCTTGGGGTCAGTGAGCCGTTCGCATTCGTCTGCCTTGACTCCCGGGTGAGGCACATTTCGTTTTCGCGAAGACGCCTCACAAGTAGCGATGCATGGCATCTCTACCGCGATACTGACAGTCTCGATGTCGCATAGACGATACAGAAGTTATCAGTGTTGTGCGAAGATCCGAGTGACCTGCACGCGAGTATCAGGACAGTATAGGCCACAAAGACGTCTGAGTCTTTACGCACATGGCGAGACTGATTATATGTGTACGAAATGAGGAGAACCGAGTCAAAAAAAGATGACAAGAAGGCCAGTCACGCAGGACCCAGCTCCAGACGTCTAGTAGTGCAATCGTAAGGTAAGAACATCGTACACAATCGGAGAGACTAGCACTGGGGGACAGAAGTAAAGGGGACGAGCACGCGAGAAAGGCCGATGGGTAAAAGTCGCATTTTATTCGATCCCCGCACTCACGCACAGATAGCCTCGTCCCCTCCCGCACCGACGGGCGTATCACGGTGGGCGCCACGAGGCTCTCAAACTCACCTTTCCGCGAGAGGTCGGGGACATCCAAAATCTCTGGAGACGGGCGCCAGGCGGCCGGACCGCTGAGATGAACTCGAGTCGGCGCGCTCGGGGTCGGAATTGATAGCTCCGTAGGTGGCGCGCCGCGCGAAGTGAGGACCCGCGACGCAGTGTGGCCTCTGCACTGCGCGGCACAGCTGCGCTCGTACCCCGTATCGCTGCACTATGCCCAGTTAGCATGTTTGCTAGCGGCGCCAGGGGTGGCCACCCGAAAACGAACCAGCGGGACTCGAGAGCCCGCCAATATCGTGGCGATGGCCTCCCCCCTCCGTGCCAAACAAGTCGGGGCCTGTCGGCGCGGTGGCTCAAAATTCGGGACGCGCGCGCTGCCAAGTCTCGCCGAACGTGGGCACGAGGCGACGCGCGCCAGAGCAGCGCGCCAGATCGTTCGCGCTGGCGCGCATTTCCAGGGATTTCGGTTTTTTTGAGCGGCGCGGGCGTCAGCCGTACCGTGCGTTCATTGTCCGATCCGGCGACTGAAATCATCGCGCCCCGCGCGCCGAGGAGAGGTTGAATTTGACCGGCGAAGATAGCATTGGCGAGTAGAATGCGGCGTTTGTGTCTCTGCCACATGATCGCGTAACTGCGCGCTTCACCGTTCTCTCGCTACGGAATGTCAGCGAACTGACGCAGAGAGTATCGGTCCTTCGCGGGCTTTCTTCGGTCGATCAGGCCGCGCAGGCGAATCCCTCGGCGGTTGAAGGTGAATGAAGTGGATGGCGAGGGTTCTCCGGTGCGCGCTGCGTCGCGCGCGTCGACGTCGATATGTTCGTTCAACTCGAGTCAGGCGTGTTCGGGGCTCTGGGGAGAGGTAATAGTGCCTTGGGGATTGGCTTCGAGCCAGAGGCGTATATGCTGGCATGCGCCTGAGACGGGTGGAGGCGGACGTCGGTGATGACCTTAATGGCCGACTGGCAGTACCAGTCCGAGAAGATATGGAGGTGTCCGGCGCCCTCGGCCTGGGTTGCGGCGTAGAGCGAACATCTAAGCCTCAAAAGGGGTGTTTCTGCCGTTCGGGTCGGTGTGGAGACTTTGCGCTTTAGCTATCGAGCGGCGCAGGACGCCAAGGGCGAGCACTCGTTCGCGAACTGCATAAGTACGCCCGCAGAATCGGCGCATGTACTGGGCACAGCACCGGTGCTCTCATGACCCAGATGAGCTAGACAGCACGTCGTGAAGGGTTGAATGTATCGGCGTTGGGGCCTGAGGCCTGAGGCCTAAGGTGGCAAGAGCGACTCTGCGCCATCATGGGCGTCAAGAGAGAAGGCACAGAGTTGTTTTCGACTGGGAAAGCGCGCGGCGCGCGTTCTGCGGCACCGCTCGTGAGATGAAAGGCCTTCATCCGTCTAGCGTCTGCTCGCGGAGTTTCCTACTCCCTGCAGGTTGGGTGAACGTCGGCGACAGCCGACGCAGACGTGGCGTGAGGAGCGCAGCCGCCTGAGTGGTTTGTCTGGAAGTGCACATTCAAGTATATGTATTCCAAAAACGACTGTGGCGACCACACTTGCGGACTGAGTACAAGTACGAATCAGATAAATCGAGCAGGCGATGCGAGTGGTGACGAGTATTTAAGCTATGAGGGCAACGGTACAACTTGCGGATCGAGTACGGTACGAGGGAGATGAAAGGAGGGCGAAACGAGTGGTGTACGTGGCGTGGGAGGGCAAGGGAGGGGCAGAGAGAAACGAGAGAAACAAGAGTGCGCAGTGTACGCGGGAAAAATTGCGGTGGTGGTGGTCGGAAGGATAGACACTCGGGAAACACCTGCGCCGCGCTCGGCTGGACGCAGGTGCGGTCTTAGAGCCTCGTGCCTCGACCCCTCGACCGACTGGGCCATTTAGTTCGCTCATCCCATCGGTGGGCGTAGAGGCAGCACTTCCACCGGCATATCTACTTGTTTGCGACCGTAGAGGTCGTATAGACCCCTGAATAGCTCGGTCCGAGACTCCGAGAACAACGCTGACCGAAGCGGCCGCGTGACGTGACGCGTCCGACACCGTGACGCCCCTCAGTTGAACAACCACGCTAAGTATCTCCGCGTCCAACGCCCACCACACACCCTCTCTGCGTCCGCTCTCGACCGCACACACCGATGTCCCGCCCGCCGACGCCGGGCCTCTTCTCGTCCGTCCTCGGCTACCTCACGCGCGAAGTGACCGATTTCGTCGTCAGCGCTGCGGGGGGCGAGCCGGGGAAGGCGACACCACATGTGCGTTTCTTGTGTTGTCTCAGTGTCGTATCCTGTGTGGTATTGATACAATGTAAACTAGGTTGATGCGAGAAAGGAGAGAGATGGTAGGAGCGAAAGGGAGAGGAGGAAGGAGAGGAAGAGGAGGAGGGTGCAGTCACAGGCCGAAGGCCAGGTCGAGGGCGAGGATGTGCCAGCGTCGGGCAAGGCACAGGTTCGTTTACCCAAACACTGCTCTCAATATTTTTGCTTATGATGCAATAGCGCAAACGCCGGTCACATGAAGACGAGCAGTACGACGCGAGCGCCGAAGACGGCCAGAAGAGCAGCAGAAGGAGGATCAGCCCGCCTTCGCCCGATTCTTCGCGCGCTGGGCCTTCAAATGTTGCTCCAGAACCCAGTACATCGAAAGATGGTATGCATCTGGCCCATATACTCTATTCGCCAACATCTAACGTAGTATACAGCCGAACCAGCCCCAGCGCCCCGCCGCCGCAAACGTCGCCCATCCATAACAATGCCCGGCTCGCTCTACCCGCGCACCCCCTCCGTCGAACCCGACTCCCCGTCCCACTCAGCCCGCACACCCTCCCCGCAACCCCAACCCCAACCACATTCACCCTCAAACCCGTCACGCTACGTCGACTACCAAATCCCGCTCCCGCCCTCGCGCCCCTCCACGCCGTCGCAATGGGTGGTGTCGCCGCCGAGGGGCAAGAGGGTGGGCGAGGCTACGCGCAGGTTTAGCGAGGACGGCGATGCGCGGCTGATGTTGCCCAAGCATCCGCATTCGCCTAATCATCGCGCTGAGAAGTCTCAGTCGAGTTCGAATGCGAAGGGGAAGGGGAGGGAGAGGGAGAGGGAGTTGCCGGCTGTATTCGACTCTTCCGACTCTTCCAGCTCAGAATCCGACGACGAAGGCCGTGCATCGCCCAGTCCGCGCGCGCGCAAGATCACGCGGAGCCATAATCATGATCAAGAGAACGAGAAAGACAGCGGAGGTGGAGGTGGGAAGCTGAAGCGCACGATGTCTGTCGGCGGGATCGAGCGCGAGCTGGTCGCCGTGCGCCAGGCGCACGCGCAGAAGGAGGCGGTGTGGGAGGACCGTGACGTGGGCGACTCGACGGTCGTGCAGGACGAGCGGCGGGAGTATTTGGAGCGCATACAGGGGTTGGAGGCGGAGGTGCAGCGGTTGAGGGCCGAGGTTCGTTTTTTTCTCCCTCTTTTTCACAATTGCATACTGAATGTAGTTGTTGTGATAGCTCGCGAAGGCTGCTTCAGGGTCCACGGGCGTCCCAATGCCCCCTCCGCCCCCTCCACCCCCACC